CGTTTTAATTTTAAATAGTTTTGCATTATGTGGCCGTTTGCTGTTTTATGGGTTTTTCCCATTTGCCTTTTAAAATTTATATATATATATATATATATATATATATATATATACATATATATATAATTATTAGCAAATATCAATAAAGAAACAGTGTTAGTAGCGTATTAACATTTTTTTCATAGCACACATTATGATGACGTATGTGTCCTTGTTTGGGTTCTCAAAAGTACACTGGCCAGACGGGTATACTAGACCCCCGGTTTTAAGTCAATGACTCACCGACCGGGGTGTGGGGTGGGTGTACCAACGGCAGCCAATGGGAAATAATAGTAATAATGATACGCGCTAAGTCTTTTGTGGTACGGTATATTCCCCATAACGTCATGTAACTTTCCCCTTAACGTTTTATACATACTAAAAACACATTATAGTGTGCAGATTGCATTAAACGAAACATTTGAGTGAGAATAAATTTGCATTACGTTTTGATATATTAAATTTAACATCATTATCGTTATAATTATTATTCTATATCATTTAAAAAAATTAGCTCTGACAGCTGCGCAAACGCCTTCGTTCCCTTGGGTAAGATCCTAGTCTAGCGCGGTCAAAGCAGTTTAATGAATGCACTAATAACAAACACATTGGCAAGGGTATTAAAATGCTTCGTATAAATATGACTGCTATAATAATAATAATAATAATAATAATAATAATAATAATAATAATAATGATAACAATAACAATAACAATAATAATAATAATAATAATAATAATAGATAATAATAATATTTTTTTATATTATAAATATCTGTATTATGATGATGATGATGATGATGATGATGATGATAATAATAATAATAATAATAATAATAATAATAATAATAATAATAATAATAATAATAATTATAATAATAATAATAACAGCAACAACAACAAAAATAAGCTCCCAGCGGGAGCGTGTGCCTACTGCCTAATTCTATAGAAACGATGATGTGGAAAATGATTAATGATTTAATGGTTTAACATCATGAGAGTAAATGGGGGTGTTGATATTTACTTTCATGTATAATTGCCTATTCAGTGTATACACTACAGTACACCATGGTATTTCATGTTAAAAGATACATTACAGTGACAATGATATCCTTATCCTGTTACCAAGACAAATGTTCCTGTTACTAACTACACATACTTAAGTTTAGATATCCACCTACACATGACCTCCAACAGAATCAGAAAGGTCAACTTTTGCGCGACAACATAGTGTCTACTGCACCCTGGTGGCAGTAGACACAAAAACAACAACAAGAACATCAACAAGAACAACAACAACAACAACAACAACAACAATAATAATAATAATAATAATAAATATAAAAAAAATATATATAAAAAAATAATTGTTATTTTTATTATTTGTTATTATTACTCTAATATTATTTGTTACCTTCCCTGTTAATTGTACTGTTGCTACAGCTGTATTACTATATTACTATAATAAGCCTATCACCATTTCATTATTACACTATTGATTTTACGATTATAGTTATTATTAATACTATTATAACCATCATCATCATCATCGTAAACATAATCATTATTATCATCACCATTATCATCTTCACCATTAATCATTATTATTATCATCATTATGCTAGTTAGATTTTTTAAAATTAAAAATAGTAAAGTAAAAATTTCCATTGGGAAAGGAGCCACATACGGACATGTAACTATTGCTGAAACTTGTAGATATTTATTTATAAACATTCATTTCCAAACGTTATATCGTTAGAAATCCACATTGAAGGTTTACTTGAATAATTAAACATTTTTCAACAGAAAAACAATTGTGTTTGGTCAAAACAAGTCCATTTTTTTTATTAATTAATAAATATTAGTATATGTTCTTCCTGACCTTTCAGATTGATTCTTGGAATCAAATCCACATTGAAATTCTAAAATAACAATTAACCTACGATCTATTTGGTAACTTGATTAATTTAATATATTCATTAAAAATTAAGATGTATGAGGATGACGTCAATTACTTTAGATATTTAAAATAGGAACAATGAATAATGAATTATTCTGGTCTTTTTCTTTCTTTCTTCTCTTGTCTTTTGGATTTAAGACGACGATAAATCGTAAATGGTTTCTCCGAATTTTGAACTTCGAATTCCATAGTATAATGATGAATCACATGGAGATGTGATTTATACTTTGGTATGGAGATACACCTCCACTGGTAATAATTGAAGATGAAAATAAATATTTTGGAAAAACGTATGTCCCCATCGCGATTAGAACCTAAGACCTTTCGATTACCCATCGGGTACTCTTCCAGCTAAGCTACTATGCATTGCATATAACGCAACACCTTGAGAAAGAACATGCCCTATGGTAGAGTATCCGAACTGTAATAGGAAGGTCCCGATGGGGACACATGTTTTTCTCAAATATTTATTATCCTGGGATATTGAAACGCTTCAATCGTGATTTCATCTAAATTTATGTAAACAACCTTAATACTTCGACAGATTATACATGTTATTTCTGAATCCAATTCATTAAATTCACTTCTATTTACTGAGGTCAGAGTGCAAAACTGTTCCAGAAGCGACCTTTAATTCATTGAATTAAAAATGATTTGCAAAATACTATTAATACTTTACAATGCATTTCTTCCATATAATATGTTACAGTTTATCACCAGAATTTCTTGCAATGAAGGGAATTTTCAGACATTTTTAAAGGTCAGCAACCCCAGAGCTAGTTTATATATCTTAATTTTGATCATGTTATTTATTTCCATCATAAAATAACAGGATTCTTCTTGCAAACTGAAAACAAATTAGTTAAACGGTAATTATTAAAATAGTTGTATAGGCCTATATAAAGCTAATCTATTGCATTTACCTTTCTTTGGCTTGGAGGATTGTTTTTTAAAGGATCGGTCGATATATACCTCATAACGTCAATGATACTCAAATAACTTACAATTTTATGTTAATATTTCTACCACGGTTAATTTGGATAGAATATTTTGACAGACAACTATGACATGCATTGGTCTTTAGGGACATATATGTAAATACGGTAGGTAAACAAAGTGAAACGACAGTTGCAATTTTTCTTTAAGCCCAGCAGCTTGGGTATTGTTACTAAGGTCCCACATACGTACACACGTGCCTTTGGGGGACAAGCGCGTATTCCTAGCTCTGTTCGGATTGGTCAACTTTTTGATTCACATTCCTTGGAATGTCCATTAAATGTTTAATTGAACGCCACTTAAAGAGATAGAAGTTCTCATAATGGTTTTTCTAGACAAGTTTTTTTTTATGGGGAATCAGAATATGTGAGGTAAATGGGCTGTAACCTGAGAACGTGAGAGCGCTTTTTTTCAAAATGGTCGCCAAAATTCAATATAATATAT